GAGCCTGCTCTGTCATTGCCACCCCACCAGCTGTTGGTCTTTGATCTTAGTCAATAACAAGTAACATTTTTACTCCTCTTTCTAGTGGACAGAGTGCATTCAAATCCATGACCTCTTGATCCTCATAATAACAACCCTGTGAGGTGTAAGGGTTGCAATTTCCAGTGTCCACATGAGCGAGCTGAGGAGGGGATTAGACCTTTCCCCTGGAGTTGCGCAGCGAGTGGACTGTGGCGGCAGGGCCTGACCCTGGCTTTCTAAGGCTAGGCCTTTCCTGCCTCCCTCCTCTCTCCTCTTTCTCCCCCATCTTCTCCTTCCTATTCCTCTTCTCAGTTAGTTTTCTCTCATTATAAAGAACAAAACATCTCAGGCTGTTTTTACCTCCTTCCACAGGGACCATTGCCTGGTCTGGCCTTCTATCCGGCGTTTATTTGGAGAGATAAGGGTTTTTATTTTTGACACATAAGGGCTTGTGTTGACTGGGGACCTCAGCTCTCCTGGCTATGCCCTCTGTTTATCAAGAGTCCTTAGAAAATTATAAAGTGCCATCCTGCCGGATGATTGCAGTCTTTACCCACATTTTTTCTGGTGCTCATAGTGTTGCATGTCATATCCGTTTTGTGTGTGTGTGTATGGGGAGGGGAGAGTGAGTGACCTCCCAAAGCTTCCCTGTGAATTAGGAACAATCAGAAGCCAAACCTCCAAGCTTTGCACACTCCTGTTCTATAGGACGCAGTTCATTTTGAATTCCAGATTTTCAACAGCTTCAGAAGTGAGATTTTAAATTCACACCCACAGAAAGCAATTAATTCTATAAACGGGGATGAGGCAGTAGAATGCTGGTGCCAACTCTATCTCCTAACTAGCTGTGTGACCTTGAGTAAGTCATATGTATTTCCTGGAACCAGGAATTTAATTAGATATAGGGGGTCCTTTTCAGATTTAGTAGTCTATGATTCTAAGTGTTATAATTTGCCTTGTAACTTGATACGTTTCTTAGAGGCAGGGCCCATGCATGGATCTGACCCTGGGTTATTGTCTCCGGGAAGGGCAGGGAGGTGGGCGTGGCCATGAGAGGGCAGGGAGGTGGGCGTGGCCAGAGGCAGCACAACAGGAGACTGCCACAAAAAAGGCCAATGTCCTGCAAGTGGAGATTGAGGCTGAGAGCAGTCTGCAGCATGAGCAGGTCACCTGAGGGTCATGACTCAGGTGGCACTAGGCAGATGGGAAGAAGAGGGAGTTGAAGCCTGGCACAAAAACTGCCTCAATTATGTCAGAGCCCTGGAGGCCTGCTGTGCAAAGGTGGCCCATTAGTCAGCAGCTTCAGTCATCAGCCATTGAACACCATGAGGGCTGAGGTCAGGGAGCAGGTGACAGGCAGTGGGGGAAGAGCTGTAGCAGGTGCGTATCAGCTGCAGTTCAGCCCAGGTAAAGTAGGCCCCAGGTACCAGGCAGTGTTCAGGAACGGGGTGCCAATCCTAGGGGGGCCAGGGGCTGGGTGGGGAGTCAGGCTTCTCTGAGCAGGGGCCTAGAAGCTCTGAGGTACCACACTAGTAGGTGGTAAAGGGGTCTTAGCAGCTGCCCCAGGCCTGAGCTTGGGGTGGGAGGTTTGAGGGTCGGTAAGGAGCCCTGTGGATGGGAGACTGAGCAACTTTGGCACTTCCTGCTTCCGTTGGAGCTGGCTCCAGAGTGGGACAGTTCTGGGCATGGAAGGCAGTGGTATGCACAGGCCCAGTACAGAGGTTCCAGGAGCGTCGAGGCCAAGGAAATGACACGAGGGCTACTAAGCAGCTAGTTCTCCTCAACTGAACATGGCAGGCCCTCCAAGTCCTTCAGGACTGCGCAGGGCCCTCCCCCAACCCCATCCAAACCAAGTCAGGCATCACTATCCAAGGCAAAGAAGTTACTAATCTTACCGCTTATTCATCATATCCTCAGGAATATAGGTAAAGCCCATCACTCTAAATAAAGGATTCCCAAACTTTGGGTTTCTCTAGTTATCTCAAAGAATCGTATAAATATTATAAGTTATTTTAATTTGAAAAAATAAGTAAACAAACAGGTTTACTAGTGACAGAAAGGTTTAGAATAACCTCTCCCAATCTATGCTTGTAGCAATAGCTCGGCAGCACAATGTGTGCTTATGTAAAAATGACCTTTATAGGGATGGAAAAGTTAGCATTGTCTGCTCCGAACATGCCAGCATTTGCATTATGCACTTATTTTAGTGCTCAAATCATCGCAAAATGTTTTTGGCTGTGCCCAGTGTGTATCCATCCACAGAGGCCCTCGGCTGAACTATGGGATGTATCTGCTTACCCCCTTTATTTAATTTCCATTCTTCCACAAGATTACAGTATAAGTCTGTTTTGTTTAATAGGATTTTCCGTAGCTACAGAGTCATTTTCTTTTTTGTAATCACTGCTCTGTTTTCCATCCTTTCTTATTTTAGTTATTTTCCTGACTTCTAAATTAGTCTGTAGAATTCTAGATACACAAAGAGAACTTTTGTGATGAACATTTCTTACCGAAAGTTGGAAATCAGTGGAAAAGTAGAAATGTAAGGAAGGGGGTGGCACGGGCCAAGCAGGATTGACCACCCCTCGGGTAACAGTCCTGAGGCTGCCCCCTCATGTACTGCTGGTCCCTCTCCCAGATGGAGCTCCTGCCATCCAGCCTGGTCCCAGGCAGCTGGTCTAATGCAGAAATGACTTTAGTGCCACCTGTAGAGATCCTGGGGTCCACACTGTCCACAGGAAGGTTGTGGGAGTTCTCGTCTCACTGCTCGCTGGGCACACATTTCCATGCAGATCAGCCATTTACGTCGGCTCCAGTTCCATTTCCTGGTGCTTTTGGTGAAACTCTCTTTAGGTCTTCTGGTTAATCACTAGAACTGAGATCTTTCCCACCTAGGTCCCCACCTGCTCACTCTCTATGCAAACACAGGATAGTGGCCCCCTAGGCATGACTGAACTATGGCCAGAGAACTCCCCCTTGTCAGCCACCCTTCCTCAGGGATGCTTTTTAAGACAGGATCCCATGGGAAACTCTCTTTATAGTCAGACCTCGCCTGCACCGTCCCCAGGCAAGCATCATCAGCCCACCTGGAAAGCACGGCATTATTCCTGCCTCTGTTCTCCCAGACCCATCATTAGCACAGTATTAGGATAGCAGTCATTCTAAATCCTCCACTGGCTCCTAGCTCCCACCGAGCAGTCTAAATGCAGCCCACCTTCTAAGCCTGCACTGCAGCCTCATACACGGCACTGCCCCAAGTTACAGCCCACAACGTGTTACCTCTACACCTCCATCTGTGATCGTGCCTCTCCCAGGCTGCCACATCCCTCCCTTCAGCCACGCATCCACCTGTTCTTCAAGGCCCGACTCTGATGTCACCTCTTCCCTGGATCTGTCCTCCCACAGCCCTTATCTGCCACATTCCACCTCCCAAGGTCTTTCTGGCTCCTCCTTCTTCTGGCACTTAACGGGGTTTTCTCTGCTCACTTTCCCTGGGTGACCTCGCCATTCACACTCGTGGCTCTGGCCACCACCCCCACTGCAGCTCTCAACCCTATCAGCCAGGTCAGCTCTCTCCCAAGCTCTGGTCCTCCATTCCAGCCACCCTGAGACAGTTCCCCCTAGGGGTCCCTCATGTATCTGACATCCTACACACCCAGAACCATGCTTGGAATTTCCCCCATCCTCTCCCAACAGATCCTTGTTCTCTTCCTGTCCCGAGGACCACGGCTGTGTGTGGGTGCCTGTTGTGTGTTGTGATGCATGAAAGATGCCATGTTGTTTATCCTTCTGGTGCACTTCTAAATGGCATGTCCTCACTGACATATGCCCCTTCAGGTACACGCCTACATCATCAGCCACCTGAAAAAGGAGATGCCGAGTGTATTTGGAAAGGAAAACAAGAAGAGAGAGCTTATCAGCCGGTTGCCAGAAATCTACATTCAGCTGCAGCGAGAATACCAGATTTCTGCAGGGGACTTCCCGGAGGTCAAGGCAATGCAGGTACTGGGCGCCCATTACAACGTCATGAGCAGGGGATCGAGAGGCACTGCCACCTGGTCCGGCTGGTTGCTGGGTACACATGTGGGTTTCATGGTTTAGGATGGAGGAGAATGCAATGAATTCATCTTCCTAATGGCGATCAGTGATAATTGCCTGCTTTCTAAAACATTTAAACAAGAGGGGATATATTTCAAGAAGTCACTTAAGCTCACGTGAAAAAATCATATGAGCAATGCTCTCAGGCTATGTTCAAGGTTGTTTTGACACTGAGGTGACACTGTTTTTTGGAATCCCAGAACCTTAAGGGAATTAGCTCTGGGAGTGACCTTGAACATCACTGCCTGGCACTGCCCTGCTGTGGGACTATGTGCTCAGGCAGCGTTGCTGCTGCAGGCTCAGGGTCCCAGTCAGAGGCCTGGGGCTCTGTGGACACAGCAAGACATGCTCACTGAAGATTTTCCTTGAAGGTTGGCACTGAGCAGCCTTTGGCCTGATTTCAGGGTCTCCCTCAGTTGTGTCCGGGCAGCCCCACGTGAACCTGAGTGGATGGATGCTGCATTCAGCTGCCCTGGCCTGACCAGTGTGTCCAGCACCCCACAGTGGTCTTAGATGAGCATATCCATGCTGACCATATCTTTCCGAACGAGGCAGACAGGTCCTTGCACTGGTCCTCAGAGAGCCAGACTGACCATCTTCTTATCCAGTGCAAGGACCTGTCTGCACCAGAGGCCACAGTCCTCTCCGAAAGACAAGCAACACAAACTCAGATGCCTGCAGCCACCAGCCAATTACGTGAACAAGGAGGCAGGCCAGACTAAGAAATTGTGTCACCCTCTCTGACTACCTCTTATTTTCTCTCGTAGAGATGTGGGTTCCTCTACCAGAAGGAGATGAATTCTATTATGCAAGTGTAATGAGAACTTGGTGGTGGGAGGGCCACAGTGGGGGCAGATTGGAGAGTGAGCCCCACCTCAGTGGGGAGGCCCAGTCCTGCCCGGTGCTCACTGCCCTGTGGGAATATGGGCCTGGATAGTTCACAAGAAGCTGGAAACCTGGATTTGTATGTAAAGTCCCCTGGTTTTCAAATTTTGGCTCAAACTCTCAAAGAATATTACATAGAACAAACATAGCATGCCTGCATACTGGCTGCTCCCTGGAGACCTCCAATTGCCATCTCCTGCCCTGAGCCACAGAGACCGAGCACTGAAATAAGAATGCAGTTGAAAATATGCAGCTGGAAGGCTGGGCCTGTAAGCTGTCTGCCTGTCTGCTTGCCTCTGGGGAGGATAGAAGGAGTAAAAGGGAGAAGGGAAGAACCAGCAGTGGAGTGGAGGCAAGGGTCAACAGGTAGCAGGAGGGGAAGCTTCGATCCTCAGGGTTTTTTAAAAAATATAAACTTTATATAAGTACACACTAAAAGAGAGGTGGATTATACTTACTGTTGTGATGGCAGGGCTCATGGTGAGTGCGTCTGGCAATATATGATCTGGTCAAATATGACGTAGCTAGCTAGCTTCAGAATAAATACAGAAACATCTGTTTTCTTCCATAAATGAAACAGGTGTTCCTGTGCTCAGGGAATGAATTGGGTTCTTTTTCTGGTCACAAGATGGCTAATTTGAGGGGCCTCTTGAAGCATCTTCCTGAGCAGGTTCCACTGTCACACCCTTGGGTTATGCCCTGCACCCCATGACCAAACTGAAGGGCAACTGTTTCCTTGCATCCTTCAGAAATTTGAGAAGGGAAATTGGTTTCTTGACTGAAATGAAAGCTTTGCACACCATGACCTAATTGGACTTCTGTGGCTTGTTAGCCTAGTGAGGCGACTGCAGTGTCCCACCCACGAGAAGATGCTGCTCCCAAGACCTGAGGCACCACTGAGCCCATCAGGGGGCTCCCTTCCAGGGCTTCCCCACCCATCCCCCCAGTGAACTCCCTTCACAGGGAGCAAACTGTATCTGTGACCTGCTGATGACCACGTTAGCCTGGGCCTGGCCAGGTTAGAGGATGCTCAGGCCTCTCAGAGCTGGGGCTGAGGGGCAGTCCTGGGCAAGAAAACGAGGAAGCCATGTACCCCTTCACCTCAGGTCTCAGAAGCAAGCACAGCCCATTTGGCTGGACCATATAGGAAGCTTTGCTGAGAACCCTGTGGGTCAAGCCCCATACCAGGTAACTTAGCACCTTCATTGGACACTTGAGTGCCCTAGGACGGGGAGTAAGGAGTCTCACCTGACAGGTGCCCTGTTCACCTGTATTCACTTATTCATTCACTTAAGAAATACTGACTAAACCTACTATGGTCAGACACTGTTCTAGAACCCAGAATAAATCAATGAACAAAAATGAAAAATTGGCAAAAATAAAAATCCTTGTCCCTATGGGGGTGTACACTGTGGATTACAGTCTTTGCCACTATGACTATGGCTGGCAAGGAAGCTTTTAGCAGCAAAGTCTATTGTTGAGACATGTGCTCCTTGTTACAAGTGCTGATGTGCTTCAGTGTAAACAATGTGTTCAGTGTAAACAGTGTAAAGAATCTGTTATTTTGGGACCGTCTTCCCTCATAAGGCTGTAACTCCATGAGGCCCATGACCCCTGTCCTTGTCACTGCCATAGCCCCAGCACCCGGGATGTGGCAGGGGCTTAATGAATATGTATTGAATGAGTTCATCGATAAGTTAGTGTATGTTTATGTTGATGAAAGTTCAAACCTATAGAAAAAAATTTTTGTAAGTTTATTTGAACCAAAAAACTGAGGACCAGCCCGGAAGCAAAATCTCAAAGGACTGAGAAAATGCTCTGGAGAATGGCAGTTTTGCAGTTCTTTTTATACATTTAGACTCAAAGGAGAAAACATAAGGAAGGTCAGATGAAATCCATTGGTGGTAGATTAAGGAGGTGGGAGAAAGCAAAGCGGGGAAGTCTCTGCAATTGGATAAAAAGTAAAATGGAGAGACAGACTTCTTTTACATTGGTCGGGACAGGATCTAGTTCACGTTTCACATTTACAGTAAACAGAGATGGTATGGTTATGCCTCCTCCGAGGGGTCTGGAAAACATAATTACTGACATCCCAAGGGTATGTTACCCTAGATGACCAAAAACAATGGACAAGGCTCGATTAAGGCAAAGATTAACCTTTTATTAAGGAATCTATAGGCCTGGAATGTGACTACCTGCGACCTGCTCAGTTAGGATTTTGTGATCAGACTCTCCTGTGTGGTTCCTTTTGGCCACTGAGCTTGTCAAGCCTGCCAGGTAGCCCCTTGAGCTTGTCAGGTTTGCTACATAGCTCCTCTTTTCTGTTCACATTTATAACGTAGCGGGCTCTAGCATAGTGAGGACCTCAGGCGCTGGCCCAGCCCTGACTTTCACAGGGCTTAGAGACCAGCAGTTTCCAGAGCAAACCCCTGGAAGCTGGAAGAGGCTTCCCCCTTGGGAAGACAGCTGGGCCTTGACCACACCACCCCAGTCCCTTCAGAGACTCTCCCAGAAACAAGGCAGGCCTAGGGCCTGTAAGGTATGCTTACAGCCACCTGATACTGAGTTATCACAATACTCCTGAGGCTAGTTTGTCACCCAGAAAGCTTTGGGGTCAGGGCCTGTTATTCCTGAGTCTATTGAGCATCTGACATCCTCACCAACACCGATGGTCAACCTCACATCTACTGTGTCTGGGACAGAGGTGGGGGCATAAGCTTGGCAATGACCTTATTATGATCTTTGCATATCCGAGGGTCGTTCGGGGAGCTTGCCAATGCAATCTCTAAGTCTGTTCTCTATGCTCTCATGGACCAAGCTGGTCTGCCTGACTCTTAGCTGTAACAATGAACTGAATGTATTTGGAAGGTTTTTGCCCAGTGCTGGTGAGAGGCCCGTGACCTGCTGGTGAAGCTGCCTGCCCTGCACTCTTTCAGGAGGGAATCTGATTTACCGCACTGATGTAAAACGGTACTGGAAAACGAGAACGCTAGCCCAGCCACCTTTATTGCTGACTCAGTTCTCCAAAGAGAATTTGGCCCCCACAGCTGATGAGTTGGCAGCCTTTCAACAGCAGAGGGCAGCAGAGGCATCCCCATATGCTCCGACCCTTCTGAGGATTCTAAAACTACTGGTGAATGCTGGAAGTGAATGGGCAAGGGATAGATAGCCCTGCAGAGACTGGGCTGGGAACTGACCTTTGTGTCAGGGGAGGGAGCATTTCCAGGATCCCAGGCTTGGTGGCTTTGATGGATATAGCCATTGATGGGTGAATCTTTAAATTCCCCGGGGTATATTCATCCCATTCAAAAGATTTCTGTTTTAGAGCTACCCAAGTGGAAGGCAGGGATGGTAGTGATTTAATTTGTACCCCATAATTCATGGTCAGGCCTAGGGGCATGGGGTACCTCAGGGATGGGAGCATAGGGTTTATTTCCTATGTACCCTTGGAGGCAAGAACGGCTGCTGCTGCTGCTGCTGCTGCTGCTGCTTCGTGTCCACCCCTGCAAATCTGTGGCCATTTCCCCTTGCCAGCTTTCCAGAGGTTTACAGTCTGAATCCACATCTCCTGGATTCAGAGGGTGGAAAGTTTGGGCGGGCACCACCCTTCATTTGTCTGCTTGGCCAGACACAGGAGCTCTGTGTGTGCTCAGTGTGCAGGCTCATTCATGAGGAAACGGGGTAGGTGTTCGTGCACCCAGGGGAATCCAGACTTGTTTACCCAGCAGCACTCAGATTTTTGTGTAGGCTGTCTGCTCTCCTCCTCCTGGCATTTCTCGTCTCAGGCCCCTGGGCTGACTGAGATGCTGGCAGCAGGAGCCCAAAGTGTTAGCAGCATTATTTGGTGCTGATGTTCAGGTGAGATGCAGGTGACCCTGGTCTATCAATGAGGATGGAAGACACGCCAACCAGAGTGGGTTTTAGAAACCAGGCCCTGCTGCTCTAAGCTGAGTGCAGACTGAACACTGGGTGTCATCTCAGCCCAGTGAGGTTTGACCCTGAGTTTTCTACTGAGAATAGTGTTGGAGGTGCCGCTGTAGAGATATGTCAGGCTGCTTAGCTTTCACCTCTGTCCCCTCCACCACTAAAGCTCAGGGCTCTACTTCTAAATAATAACATAGGATGTCTGCCCTGCCGGTACACCCTACAGACCACAATTTTTATTCTCCATTGGAAACAACCTAAATATCCAACTACATAGGACAGAGTAAATGACGAATGACCCATCTATACATTCAGTAGTAGGGAGCAATTAGGAATGAAGTTGTATATGAATATGATTTTTAGGTTCAGCACAAGCCTGGCTAAGTATGGAAAGACTGCCCTAAAACAGCAATTCTGCAAAGATGGGTACATGAGGGGTTTTTTGTTTGTTTTTTTTGGTCTTAGAGTTTTGTTTTCCTGGTTTTTGTTTTAGCTCCTGACATTCAAGGAAATCTCTGTCTAAACACGAGCCGAACACAAACCAAGGAACAGAGATTGTAGTGAATACAGTCTTTGCAAAAAATAGTGGGACAGTCAGTAAAAACAAAAACAAAATAAGGTACAAAAATTAATATCGTGGAAAGATATAATGCATTACTTCTTTAAAGTGATTTAAGGACGTTGTTTTTGGATCCGTTTTTAAAAATGAGAGTACAAATAAGTAAAAGTTAAAACTGGTAAGAGGAAGTAGAATAGGAATGAGAAGGGTGGTCTTATTTTAGTTAAAGTGTGTGTGTGTGTGTGTGTGTGTATGTGTGTGTGTGTGTGTGTTTGTATCAAAATGGCTAGAAATGTACACCCCAAAATATTAGCAGATTATTACTGGGTGATGGAGTTATAAGCACTTTAAATCTTTTATTTTTGTTTACCAGTATTTTCCCAAAATTTTTACAATAAAAGTATGGTATTTGTGATAGTACCAAGTTTTATTTCTTTTCTAAGTGCCTGTCACATTATTTCTGCCCAAAACAGTCACGCCTGAGGGGTATGTGACACCTCTTTTCCTCGAGAGTCTCTCTGCCTCATCTCCCAAAAATTGCACACCTGGCCCTCTAGAATTGTCCCAAAAGAAATACTTCACAAATCCATATAAAAACTGCCTTACCTGGAATTCTCTGCATTTATTTGGCAAAACTGCTGTTAAAGACATTTTCCACTAGATCTTTGAGGTCCCCCGTAAAAAGCCCCTGGTGACTCTAATAATTCAGGGCCAGAAAAAGTTTGTCTCTTGCGATGAATAGGTGGTTTCTCCCTGCAGACAGTGAGGGGTATGATCTCCACCCACCCCCAAAACTCAGCTGGGGCAGCTGAGAAGCAGTAGTTTTTCTCACCTTAGTTGTCTGATGTGATAGATAATTTCCTTTTCTCACTTCTATTTATTTATTTATTTACTTACTTACTTACTTACTTACTTACTTATTTATTTATTTTTAGCTGAGCCATCCTGCCACCTGTTAGCAGCTCAGCTCTGGCCGGGAATCAAACCGGCAGCCCTGTTGCTCAGAGCTCGCACTCTTGTGTGAGCTCTTAACCAATTCAGCCACTCGGCCGGCCCCCTCCCTTTTATTACTTGGCTTTTCCATGTCTAATGACTTCTATTTTGTGTTAACATTTTCACAATAAGCTAAGTCAAGCCCTTTTTGAAAGTAGGCAGGAGCTAAAAAAACTAGAGTGTCCTTCCTCTATTACAACATAAGCTTTCTGAGCGTCCAGACTGTGGCTTTTCATATTTATATTCCCAAGGCCCCAGAACAGGGCCTGGCACATAACAAATGGCCAATAAATATTGGATGGATGGATGGAAGCATGGATGGATGGGTGGATGGATGGATGGATGGATGGATAATGGATAGATGAGTAACCAAGGAGAACCAAGATAGGAAGGACTATTTTTACAGATCCTCTGTGGCATCTATGGTTGGCTCCCATCCTGGCCAGACAATTGCCTTGTCTCTCTGAAGCCTGTCCTCCGCTGCTGTATCTGCTGCCTGGCCGGTTCTCCCAGGAGGTGGAGCCAAGACTTTCCTTGACTTGACTAATATACGCAGCCCTATTGGCTGGGTTAATACTCACCCTCCTCATTCCTACTCTACTTCCTCTTGCCAGTTTCAACTTTTACTTATTTGTACTCTCATTTTTAAAAACGGATCCAAAAACAACGTCCGTAAATCATTGTTTTACCTAAATAAGTCCCTGTCACAGCTTCACATTGCAGCACAAGGAGCACTAGTCAAGAGGCAGGAGGCATGGGCTTTATTCTGGACTCCCCCAGGACACCCCATGTGCTCTGTATAAAACACAGCTATTATACTTAGCCTTCCTTATTCTCAGCATTGTGACAGTCAACTGAGGTATGTCGTAAAATCACCTTAAAAGCTAAAATACAAAATCTCTAGAGCACTAAAAAAGAGAGAGAGGAAAAAGTCAGGGTAAAGGCAGGTCATCTCAAAGCGCTGGAGGATTGCTGTCACTCATACGGCCGCCAGCAGAGATTAGCTACCATAGCACAATGTTGCAGCCCATGCATCTTATTTTTTGTCTCTGGCGAGTTCACATGTGGGAATCCCACCAAAGAGAGAGCCCTGGAACAGCCCAGGGTATGCAGTGTCTGCTTTAAAGGAGAATTCGTCTCCCTCAGCTGTTTCTCTCCCTGTTTGCTTCCTGAAGAGAGGGCGTGTAACCAACCATGTGGTTCCTCCTTTTGCAGGAACAGCTTGAGAACTACGACTTCACCAAATTTCACTCACTGAAGCCCAAGCTGATTGAGGCTGTGGACAACATGCTGACCAGCAAGATCGCGTCCCTGATGAGCCTCATCAGCCAGGAGGAGCTGAGCACGCCCACACAGCTGGTGCAGGGCGGCGCCTTCGACGGCACCGCCGAGGGCCCCTTCAACCAGGGCTACGGGGAGGGCGCCAAGGAGGGCGCCGACGAGGAGGAGTGGGTTGTGGCCAAAGACAAGCCTATCTATGATGAGCTCTTCTACACCCTGTCGCCGATCAATGGCAAGATATCAGGCGTCAACGCCAAGAAGGAGATGGTCACCTCCAAGCTGCCCAACAGCGTCCTGGGCAAGATCTGGAAGCTGGCCGACTGTGACTGCGACGGCATGCTGGACGAGGAGGAGTTCGCGCTGGCCAAGCACCTCATCAAGATCAAGCTGGACGGCTATGAGCTGCCCAACAGCCTTCCCCCGCACCTCGTTCCCCCCTCGCACAGGAAGTCCCTGCAGAAGGCCGACTGAGGGACAGGCCGCCCACAGGGCGGGTGTGGGGTGGGATTCGGGGGACCTGGGCCTGAGGCCCTTGCTGCCACTGACTCACGGAGTGACCCTGGGCAAGGCACACCCTCTCTGTGCCTCAGTTTCCCCATCTGTAGGGTGGGGAGGGCAGACACTGGACACTAGATGTGGTCCTTTCACCTCTAAAATTCCCTGAGTTTCTATTAAAATATTGGGGGGGAGGGAGTGGATAAAGAGATTGTAGGGTGGAGAAGAAAGAGAAATTGACCAAAGAGTCCTCAGAAGCGTGGAGAGACATCTCTGTAGAGGTGGGCTTGGTGGAGTCCCCGGAACATGGGGCATGAGCTGGGCGAGCCACTGGAGCAGAAGTCCGCTGGGCTTCCCCGGACCACGCATCTGTGAACCTGTCCCTCAGAGGGCACCACGAGGGAGCAAAGATGATCTTATTTATTTTGTTTCCTGCTACATTTAGAGTGGAAAAAAACAGAGCAGAGAGCATTTCTGCTCTCTCCAAACTGTCTACCAAAGAGAAGGCAATTGCTGCCCGAGGTTTGAAAGGAGGATGTATACAGTGTCTGTGTGTGCCCCGTGCCTTCTGCAGGCCCTAGCAGAGCAGAACAGGCAGCCAGGCCAAAGAGAGTGTCTGCCCCAGCACCCTACTGACTAGTCCTCCCAGGGCCCCCCACCCCTGGACCTTCCCATCAAAGTTGTATTTGGTTAGGAATTTGGAACCCTCAACCTTGATTCATCCTGGTGAGATTTCTAGTGTTCAAGTCATGTTGAAGTCGGAAGATTAGCTGTTCTTACTGGTCTATCCAATAATTTGTAGCAAAGTCTATTTATCGTACTTAAACTACAGTAAGGAAAAGAGGCGGTTTTCCCCTGTCGTCAGTGTGGTTACATGTCTCCAAGGCCCCTTCCTTGGTCAATGGCAGGATTTAAATTCAGCCAAAACAGGCGTTGGTACATGCAGAATCCTGGGCCTGTGGAACAAAGGGGACAGAGAAGCCAGCCTGCCCCAAGCTGTCAGGGAGAAAAGAACAGTCTACTAGCTTAGACACTATTTTTATAAAAAATAGGCATTTTTATTATAAAATAGTCCTCCCTCCCTTTTTTTCCCCCCAGGATAAAAGCCTTTATACAGAAACAGATGGAACCTTTCCTATAAAACCTTTTCTTCAAAAGATTGTGTGGTTCGTATCATGAATGCCCATCACCAGGCGGGATTGGGCACATCCCTATACGTGAGCTCCCTGAGGTCTCTCTCTCTCTCTCTGCCAAGTCCCTCCCCCATGTCAACCCCTCTAGATCGCTTACTCAGATGCCTGTGTCAGATGAGGGTGGTTAATGCTCACTGCCTCCCTCCCTGCTATGTGGGTTCTAGCTTGGACATACAGGTGCCTTTTCACCATTAGTTATGCAGTAAAAGAGAAAGATAGGAAATAGAGATGGCTGTATGGCCTGGGGCCCCGCTGGCACCAGAAATGAATGAAATCAGAACAGTCCTACCTGAGCCTTCCAAAAACCACTTTTTTTCTGGGGTTTGGTGTGTGTGTGTGTTTTTCCTAATGTCACCTGTGACATCAGGGTCAGAACTGAGAAGAGAAATAGTTTACTTTAGAGAAGCATGTATCCAGATGCTAGCCCTCACACTCCCTAGCTTTCTAAATAATTTCATTTGAAGAGAAATAAATGCATGATGTGGTTTTTAATCTTAATGAGCACTTTTAAATTAATTAGACACAGAGAAAAGCAACATTTATAATTCCAGGACTGTGATATGAGCAGATAGTTTTGTGAACACATGAGGACTGCCCCAGAGTGCAAGCATGGTGGGTCTCCCAAAGGACACAACTGAGAAGAGAGTTCACGTGTCCATAGGTTCAGTGATGCCAAAGTTAGCTGATTTTCCACTCAGAGTCATCTTTCTTCTTTAACTCTGCTGAACTGTCATATATAAAGATAAATATATACATATATATGCTACATGAGTACTATGTACTTTTGACATGGATACATATGTAGATATGGCCACGTTTTCCTATGTAGAGACATAGAACTGTTTTAGAGGGCCAGCAGACAGAGATTTCTGGTTTCTATATGGAAGGAAACGTAGCATTGTGAGCCCTACCTTCCGCCACACCCTCAGGTGGGAGAACATCTGGTAGCTCAGTTCTTTCTGTACTGACAGGAAGGAAGGAAGGAATCACATGTCCATTTTCCTTAATATCTTCTCTTACAACATGAAGTCATTGGAGTTGATTGGAAAGAAAAACACTGGAAAACATTAGGGATGGCAGCCAAGTAAGGACCCATATCTTCCGAGGACTCTGTGTCCAAAACACCCGTTATCCCCAGCCCCATGCAGCAGGGTGGCAGAACAGCAGAGCCCTGTGGGGTCTGTTCACCTTGACCGACCTTATTGCCCTTCCCACACCACCCCAATTTTCAAAATACCCCCTCCCCAGAGTGTTTACAGATGGGTGGTAGGGTGGAAGTAGGTAAACTAGCACTAAGAAACTATCTTCATGTTCTCAATGATTCCATAGAAGAAAAATCTATGAACCTTGAATCTAGTTTCTACACAGCACATGATACCACATAACACAAACTGCAGGGTTGAGCTTAGGGGAGAAAAAAGGAAAACTTTAGCCTCCTCCTCCCAAAGTCGACTTCCCAATTGTAAGCCTGCTAATGACGCCCTCCTGAACTTATCAGACCTGCTGAGACTCCACAGCTCCTGGCCACCAAGCATGTCCAACCTGCTTCCGCTTCATGCTCCCGCCCAGCATGGCACATCCATTGTTTTCTCACACACTTGGATGGCTCAGGACAAGGTCACTCTTCCGTGGGGAGAGCCATTCATCTAGTTGGCTTTCGCTTCTCCAGGGTTGGACTGGGTTTTCTTTGGAACACTTGTCATTATGCAGCAATTGCATCTTTGGACTTGGGGCTATAGTTCCTTCCATAGGACGGTGGCTCTTGAGGAGTTGAATTCTTATTCTGTATCATGGGTCTGGGTGTCCAGTTGGGTCAGAGATCATGTGAGGGAGAGCAACCCCCAGCCTTCTTACTAGCATGCAGGAGAGGCCTCGGCAGAGCCCTGGCCCCACTGCCCCTGAACACTGTCCTTTCTGGTTATCTGGGTCTCCTAAGCAGCCACCTCACCACCACCCTGGGAATGTCTTGCACTGCAGTCCACTGCCCAGGGTGGGACTTAACCACCGGAGTCATGCCTGACAGTCATCACCTGGACCTTTCCATTTTGCGTCGCTATACTCCTTCATTATACCCAGAGCAATATCCCAGGAAAAATGCCTTGAAGATAAGGAGAGCATTTAAACGGTGGCACTATATTTCCTCCATAGAATGTGGCAGAAGAACATTCTTAGGACAGATAACCACTGAGTTTATTCAGGTAAACATGGTCCTAATTTAATTAAGAGTGTGTCAGGTTACATGTCAATTAGCCAATGCAGTTAATACACAATGCTTCTGTTTTTTTTGTAATCTTGTTTAGAAGTGTCAAAAAAAATTAAAAGCGCAGTCTACTGATCAATAAACTTAAGAAAAAAATCACTACCTTTCCTCCACTGGCTGTGGTTGTCCGGAGACTGTATGCAGCTTTCTCGGGCATAATGTGGGTATCCCTGTCATCCATTCTAAAATAAGGCAGAGGAGTTAGGGGATGTGGTGCCACTTCTGCACACCATCCCTGTGACTTCTGACTTCCTGTGTCCTCTCTGGGTGGGAGAACCCAAAATGGGACTTCTTTAGAAAAAAAGCAGCTCCATCCACTGGAGGCAGAGGCCAGGTCTGGGAGCAGGCACCAAGGGAGGCTGGAGCCCCAACTGGGAGTGACTGGAAAACAGGACGGGAGGGTATTGTGGAGAAGGAACTTTCTGAGGTTGGAACAGGGCACCACTGAGCAGGCCTGCCATGGTGTCCTCTCCCCGGGCACCTAAAGGTGCAGTGGTGCTAGGGTGGAGCCCTAGCTGGCTGGCACTGCCCCTGCCTCTTGCCACACCTCACTGGTGTGGCACGCCCATAGCAGATATCTGGGTTTTTCTCACTGGCACCCACTACCCTTTCAGTGCTCCAGACCAGGAATTTCCTTTGCAGAGCACTCCCCACTTCCCCATCCTCAGTCTGAGTCATAAAGTTTGGGTGAGATAGACCCCCAACCTCCTTTTCCAGGGTGGATCCTGATTGGTTTAAGCCAGTTAAAGTATGTCATCCCCCTGGTCACAGAAATTGGCTCAGGAATGGACTTGTGGTTCAAGTCAAGCCTATGAGATCCAGGCCTCTCAGACTTCCATTCCAACTCTTGGGAAAATGTTCTCTCCTCTGAATCATGCAATGTAAAGAAGCAAGACTATTGGTACAACAATATAAATGGCATTGAGAAGGTGCCCCGAGCTGCTGGGAGCAGGGGAGTAATTTTAGGCTGGCAGTAACCACCCTGTGGAGCATAACAATGGAGGAGGCTTTGCGAAATGCAGAGGGAACCCAGGCCTGTGGCAGCATCACTTGAGCTGCTGGATCCAACCTCACCTAAAGTCTTCCTCCTGCCAGACCTTTCAATCATGTGGGCCAATACATTCCCTTTCTATTGTTTCAACCGGTTTGACTTGAGATTTCAGTTACGTACAACGTAAATAATCCATGTACTGACCAACAGGGATTGTCATTTCAGCAGGGGCTGCAGTCAGTCACTGCAAGAGGGGCCGGTCCTCGCAGCATGTGCAGTGGCTTTAGCTGCTTTGCTAAGGAGGAAGGGCAGTCCCCCAGCCGCACACAACAACCTCAGAAATGTCAACCTCAGAAATGAGTTGTGTGTGCAAAGTGTCACGCAGCTCCATCCTGTCCTCAGGTGGTCACATCACACAGGTGCCCTAGGTCAAGGGCCTTAATAGGAGAAACAAGCTGAGTAGGGAGCTTCCTAGAAGAAGCAGAACTTTAACCTGGGCTGATGGAATAGGAGAATGGGGACAATGGGGACTAGAAGGGACATTAGAAGCTGAGAAAACAGCTGAAGCCCGGATGTGGACAGGGAAGCTGTTTCCATCCAGGAAACGGGGAGTCTTCATGAGCAGAGTTGTGCTCTGAAAGGTAAATCAGGGGGCTGTGTGTGCATAAGCTGACAGGCGGGCAGGATGACAGGCTGGGGACTGGTGATGAGCACCTGCAGGGGCAGTGGGAAGACACGGCGTGGGGGGGTGAACCATGGAGCAGTGGGGGCACGCAGCAGCAACAGCCCTTGGTGACTGACTGGATCTGGGCTGTGAAGGAGGAAGCAGCTGGGGCTCATCCCAAGCACTGGGAAGGCAGCCAGTGGCAGGGTGGGAGGCGGGGACCTCTAAGGAAGAGGAAAACAGGGTAGGAAGCCCCTCAGACACAGGGTAGCTGCTCGCCCCAAGAGCCATGACCCCGGGGTTCAGGTGTGATTAGTCCTCCGCAGCTCTCAGAGGCAGGCTGTGGTCGCTGCTCTCTTTGCCACCTTAGTGGTCAGGGACGCCTCCCTGAGTAGCGCTATGTATCCTTCTGGAGTCTCCAGGGCTGTTGGGGGTATGAACCCACAGACACACACCAAAGCTCAGGGACTGTCACCCGGAGTTTAGCCAGACTGTTCTGTGAACCACCTCAATTAGAACTCACTCTCCCTCCGGTGTGCAGTCTGAGTCTGCTCAGGGAGGAGAGCCGCAGGCTCCCACCGAAGCCCCTGCCTCCGAGCCCTGCCTGGCGAGCTCCGTGGGCACACAGGTGCTGGGGCCCCACCATGGACCCCAAGCAGTGAACACTGTGTCTCTGGCTTTAGAGAAGCCAATGTCATTTCCACAGCCTTTGTGGGTCCAGGTTACCCCTTCCAGGGGGAGCCCCCGTTCAGAGAGTAGCCCCGGGGCGTGAGGGAGCGTCACGGGGTCAGCCCTGGGCTAGGTTGAGGGTGGTTCTGTCGGGGCTGGAAAGTGCAGCCCAACATCTGACGATTCCCTAGGAAGGGAGAGGAGGTGCTCTCACCCAGCACGCTCCCTCCCACCTCTGCCCCTGTGGGTGCTCCCAAAGAAGCCCTATGGGGTGCGGAAGGGCAGTTGCCAACTGGGACGTGGGTGTAGAAGCTTCTGACCAGAGCTCTGTTCTCTAGTGCCTTTACCCAGACTGCAGTGCCCTCAGGGGGTCCCACCCCAGCCAACTCAAGGCCACCCCATGGGCCTCTGTGTCTTGGGAGCCAAGACCCCTACCTGACCCCTGGGGGCATTTTCAGTGGGGGGACAGTAAAGGAGGAGATTTGGGACCAATGGTCTGGAGCATTCCTGAGCCGCCCCCTCCCAGTAGGCCACGCCCTATGGCAGGTGGGAGGATAATGCCTGCTGTGTGCTGTCCCCCCCTGCTGGCTCAAGAGGAGGGCCATGACGTGGCTCCAGCTCCAGCTTGACCTCTCCTGGTGCCTGTCTCCCTCCCCACATAGCCCCTGCTATCTTCCATCTCCAGCCAGCCAGCCAGGTCTCCTCCCTGGGGCCCAGACAACGCCAAGGTGAGCAGTTTCCTGTTTTCCTCCCACCCACCCTATTTATCCCAAGGTGCAGCAGCCAATCACTGTGGTCCACGGGAGACCTTCAGCAGCAGAGCTCTGAAAAGAATCTGGAAAGCGGGGTGGGGCAAAACAGGCCCTGGGCCATTCAAGCGCAGGGACCAGCCAGGAGCACCAGAGCCTTACCTGGCTAGGCTCGAAGCCACAAATCCCCACCAAATGTGGAAACAGTCTGGCAGGTTACCCCAGCAGAGGCATCATACCTACAGTCCTTCCCCATCCTCCATGCCCCCAACATCTCCAGCTTAGGGAAATATCCACTGGCCCCAAAGGGCTCCAGTAATAGCTGGTTATCCCCACAATCCCCAGCAGTTCGTTGGGGCTACAGGACACCAGAAGCAGGAAGCCAGCCGCAGAGCCCTGGCAGGGCTCTCCCAGCTCAGTCCCGCCATGGACTCTGCATACGAGATGGGCCACATTCGAAAGTTGCAGGTGCAGCACATGCGAATGCAGGAGAAGACTTTCACCAACTGGATCAACAACGTCTTCCAGCACGGCCAGGTGAGTACAGCTGAGCGTGCCCTACAGCCCACCTCTACTGTCCCCCCAGCTCCCTGGCCAGTGGACCTTGGGGAGCTGGTTAGGAGGTCATCTGGCTGAGGCGTCTCGAGACCTCACGGCACAGCTGAGGCCAATTCTCCTTCCTTGAGGCAGCAGCTTGAGGCAGCTGCTCTGCATCTCCCAGGTCCTGGGATGAGGCAGACAGGTGAGACTGGGCTGACTCAGTGCCTTCCCCCACCCCCTCTCAGGTGGGCCTCAAGATCCAGAACCTGTACACAGAGCTGGCAGATGGCACCCACCTACTGCGGCTGCTGGAGCTCATCTCAGGGGAAGTTCTGCCACCCCCCAGCCGGGGACGCATGCGCGTGCACTTCCTGGAGAACTGCAGCCAGGCTCTGGCCTTCCTCAGGGCCAAGGTGGGCACCAGGGAGAGGGCTTCTGGATGTGGTGCTGGGTGGGCAGTGGGGACAGGCTGGACTCCTAGATCATCTCTCCTGGGCTGGCCACAAGGCAGAGCAGAGGCTCTAGATCCTGATTCCAGGAGGAGCAGCGGAGGTACAGAAGAACAGGAAGCAAAGCCCTTCCTGGCCCAGTACTCCCAGCTTAGAGAGCACCCAACCAGCTAGAGCAGGAATAGCCATCATCCCCAGTGGGTAGGACTGAAATATGCCGCCGATTGTAAGGAGAGAATCACAGGATTCTAAGCTGAAAGATTCAGTGTACTCTTAGCCTTCTCTTTTCATAAGTGAGGAAACTGTTTACCAAGCTGGCCGGCAGAGCCCGGATATGGAGCCATGCATGGGAGGCAGGCTGAGGGTAGGACACAGGGGAAGAGCCCTGGACACTAAGCCAGGCATTGGAGGGGAGAGGTTTGGGGTCTGCATTGGAGAAGCTGGACTGGATAGCAGGGAGGGGCCTCAGTAAACAGGAGAAACTCAGAAAGAAAGGGGCAGGCCAAAGAAAGAGTCACTAAAAGGGACCAAGAGCTCCAGGAACACAGCAGGACCCTCCTGCCAGTGTCAGGGGGCTTTGCAGGGGTCATTTATACTGAGAAGCAGGAATTAGGAAGCCCAAGGGCTTCTAGCCTCAGGTGCTAATGCCACCAGTCAGCAGGTGGCTGTCTGGGAGGCTGTGAAGTCACTGAACAGAACTGGCTGGCTGAGCCTGAGTGTGTGTGCCCGTCACTTATGTCCTTGGTTGGAGGTCACAGTCAGCCTCCTGGGAGTCTGGCATGCTGGAAGGAGGCCAGAGAGGTAAGAAACCAAAGCAAGGGACCGGAGCACTGCAGTCCATGAGCACACATTAGAGCAGAAAGCTCCCAGCCACAGAATACCAGGCCCTACTTGGCCCCAGGGGCAATGGCCTATGAGCCAGGTACTTCCCCTTGGGAAACTTGGGAAGGGTGCAAGCTCTTGTCAGAGACCCTGCAGCTCCCCTCAATCTTAGATACACAGCATGCCCACTGATACGTAGACTGTGAAGGTGTAACTTTGTCTTTACTGCACATCGAGGCAGCTGTGGTCAAGCAAAAACAAGGTAGTTGCCCCAATACATGGTTAATAAGTAGCAGAATGTGGGATGCACTCATTTCTGGAGAATGTACCATGTGCCGGGCGCTCCATGCCAGGGGCCTGGGAACTGCAGTCAGTGAAGCTCAGACCTGACCACAGGGACCTATAGTTTCAGGAGAGACAGTTTAGTTACACCCACATCAGTGATGTGTTGGTAAATGTTTAACAACCAGCTCCCGGAGGGGAAAATAAAAGTTCTGGTTTGTAACATTTGCTGATTTCCATGGTGCTGATACCCCCACCATGGCTCACTTCAAGCTACCAGCATGACTTCACGAAACCCAAAGTTGGGAAGATCAGCCCTCATGAGCTACTGTGAGCAGACCAATACCCTACCAACCAGATGCTCCAACTCCAAGCTGAGGTGAATGCAGATGGGCTCAGGTGGGCCCGAAGAAAAGGGCAGAGCATGGGGCGGATCCTTTAGAGACCAGGCAGATACAACAAAGCGTACCCACAGGGTGTACCAGGGTGCAGCCCCTCCCACCGGGTTGGTAGTTGCCTGAAGGCAGCTTCCCACCAGGTCTCAGGGGAAATCTCCTGTTCTTCATTCAGTGTATATTTATCAATGACCTGCTATATGCCAGATACTTGACTAGGTGCTTGGGAGACATCCAGGAACAGAACCAAGATCCCTACCCAAGCAGGGTGAGGTGATTAAGTGTGTGTGATTGGGCAGGAGGATTAGTCCTCAGTTTTCGATTTTAAATAAGTTGGACAGGGTAGGCCTCTTGGAAAAAAGCGGCATTTGAGTAAGGAAGAGAGGGAAGTTGCCATGTGGCTATCTGGGGGAATAATGTTTTCAGACAGCAGGGACAGCCAGTACAAAGGCCCTAAGGTCTATGCTTAGAGTCTTGAAGAAAGGCAAGAATCCCGTGGGCGTTAGGGCGTTAGCTGCGTCATTCAAGAGAGGAGGACGGGGCCAGAGGGCGAAGAGGCCAGGGGCATGTGCGGCTTTGATGTGTATTCTGTTCTTTCCTCCCCTCGATTCACTCCTCCTCCCTGTCCAAGTGGCAAGATCTAGGGCAGCAGGTTCCCAACTTTAACGCACGTAACAACTACCCAAGGTGTTTGTCCAAATGCAAATTCCTGGGTCCCGCCCCAAGAGAGTGCGGTTGCGTGGAGCATGGGGACCTGAATTTCTAACAGGAGCTGGAACACTGATGAGGAAGACTAAGATTCACATGTGAGCCAGGGGCCCAAGCCCTTCCTAGAGACTCCGAGAGGCCCATGGGACGTGGAGACAGACAGCTTTTCTCTATTGAGCACATACATTGACTGTTATGACCCCTCATTTCCAACCCCCATAGTTGAACCACTGATCCTGGCCTGGATTTACCTATGGCCCCATATGTGGTGTCCTCTGGCTCCAGTGGTCCAGCCTAGTTCACCAGGCTGGGGTTTCACTCAGGTAGACTTGGGGTCACAGCCCCAACCATTTAGAAAGCCTTTGATTGCCTGGCCTTGAGCCCTGCCTGCTTCTCCCTCATCCCTAAGGACCCTTAGTCCAGGACCCTCCCTTTGGGTGGCTGGCTCCCTGGACTTGCGGTTACTCTGAGTCTTCCCTGCTATATAGGCTTCACACTGAGCCCAGACAACTGTGCCCACAGGTGCCAATCCCCCTCATCGGGCCAGAGAACATCGTGGATGGAGACCAGACACTCATCCTGGGACTCGTCTGGGTCACCATCCTGCGTTTCCAGATTTCCCACATCTCCCTGGACAGGGTATGTCTCAGCCTCAACCCCACCCCCCAGTTACCCAGCTCAGCCCTGGATTTACCTCTAGCCCCTGGGGCAGAGCAATTCCACCTGACGATTATGATCCCCACAGCAGATCCTTGGCACACAATTAACACTCACTCTTCAACCACAGGCAAAGAACTTAGAATGTCAGAGAGATGGTATTATGCTCAAGTGAGAACTAGGTTCACGGGCTTCAAACCTGATTGGGACAAGTCATTCACTAGTGAGTGGCAGAATAAAGGAAATTATCAATAAAAGTGACATGCAGGGGTGGGAGGAGATTGAAACAAGATATAGATGGTGATTTCCCAGCCTGAAAAAGCAGCGTGGGCTGTGCCCTCAGGCAGCTGCCTGAGGCATTGAAGTGGTAGACAGGTGGATTCACATCAGAGGTGGGCTCCTTGTCAGACATTCCTGGATCAAGTGACACCCTTCCCAATTAGCTGGGGGACCCTGGGCAGCTTCCAAATCTCTTTCACTGCACCTCGTTGTGTCATCCTTAGGATGTAAATGCTGACAGTGCCTACTTCCCAGAGCTGTGAGGGGTGGAGAGCCATGTGTATGGGCCTGATGCCTGGCAATCAGAAAGCCCAGAGTGACCAGGAGTGGGTCTGCTGTAGCCCAGCCTCAAGTCTGTGTGGCCCAGGGTAGGTTAGCACAATGCCCGGCCTATCAGAAGGGATGGAGAAAGGGAGCTGCTACTGTTGTTGTCACTAGTTACAACTCAAAGCCAGGTGCTCAGCAGTGACAGCTCTCAGGCACCCCACTTCTTTGGCATGACATTCAGCCCTCATGAGGGCGGAGAGTGGCAGGGAACAGGATCACAGCCAGCTACCCCCAGCTTGCCTCTCCCACAGCCTGCAGGCTCTGCCGCCTCCCCCACCTGTCCCTGCATGGTGACCCTCTGCCCTGTCCCTCCAGGAGGAGTTTGGGGCCAGCGCAGCCCTGCTGTCTGCCAAGGAAGCTCTGCTGCTCTGGTGCCAGCGGAAGACAGCCTGCTACGCCAATGTCAACATCACTGACTTCTCCCACAGCTGGAGTGATGGGCTCGGCTTCAGTGCCCTCATGCACGCCCACAGGTGTGTGTGACGGAGAGGGGCCCAAGAGCCCTCCCAACCTAGCCTGGCCTGAGGCAGGCCTTAGCCTTCTTCCCGGAGGCCTCCACCCACTGAGCCAACTGCTCTGGGGCTTGGGTCCTCAACCTGTTTGTTCTCCAACATCCCTCTGGCCCCTGCAACCTGGGCACAAAAGTAGAGAGGACTGCTAGATGAGGCCCTGGTCTGTGGTTACCC